AAACAATGAGAAAATATTGAGAAGCATATTATTTGTTAAAATATTTGACAACAGAATAATTAGAATCCCATTATATGACGATACTTTTAGTCATTTATAAAGTTTATTATTATGGAGTCATGATTAAAATATACATCATGTATACAAATTTTTAGATTTTTTAATTATTTAAAATTGAAAATAAATAATATATGATCATTATTTATGAGAACCAATTTCTTACAGAGTCCATATATTTAAATGCTAGCAACAAAAACGTAGTAATTTTAAAAGACTTTTTGTTTGTAAATATTGGTATACTTTTCTAAGAAAATTAACATGTTTTCTTTTTCTCATTGCATTACTATTATATTATTTGTTTCTTATTTTATTGACAAATAATATTTTCATTGGTAAGTAACTAAAGCACATTTAAACGTATTATGTTATTTTTTGTATGTGTTTTATATAATGATGGTATCAAATTATCTTATTTATTAGGCTACAACTAATATAATCACATAAGATTAAATGTAATTTAATATATTTGATAAAATTGTACATTTTATACAAATTATTAAATTAAAAAGTTTTAGAATTTTTTTCAATGTTTGATAAAATATTAATTAACTAAGTCATTTCATAATCACTGAATACATATATGGTACCACCATTATAGGGTTCATTTTGCAGCAGTAATTGACTTCACATAGCTAATGTTATTTTATTTCCTTTCTCTGGTCTAGCCTTTCTTTTTATCTATGACTTCACATTGCTTCGCTTCGTTTGTACCCTAAGGTGCATTTGCCATAGTTTCAGCAATACAACAAACTCGCGACAAACATATATCGGATTTGGACGCTAGCCAAAACGTGGGAACATTTAGAAGTTTACACCCATTTTTTTACTTTTTTTTTTAAATATGAATTGTTTCAAATTTATGTATGGAAAACATACCACAAGTTTATCTTATGTTATTTTATACTTAATAAAATTGATTTAACTATATTTGTATATCCTATATTATATTATATTTAATTAAAATTTTTAATTAAATATTTACAGTTCATAAATTCATTAATAATATTGTCCAGTCAACTTTTGTTCATAAAATTTTTAAAAATATATTATTTTCATTAATTTGCTTATGTTGAATGGAGAAAAGTTATGTTTTTTAATTATATATAGGGAGGATATAAGATTTTTTATATTTTTTATGTAGTATTTATTGAGTAATTGTGTTTACAATTTTTCTATTAAAAATATATTAAACACGTGAACTTTTTAGTTCCTATAATTTTTTTTTTCAGAAATCACTCATTATTTTATCCCAAGATTACCTATTAATTTACCAATTGAGTTACATTTCTTACATATTAAATATTATATAATTAAAATATTTCATGTTTTATCTGTTCAATATGATACTTATATATTATATTAAAAAAATTAATATAGTAAATAAAAAAGTTATTTAAAATTAGAATAATAAAGATTTTCTTTTTCTAATATACATGTATAAATGTACACATAAAATTTACACATAAAATTAATAAGAACAAAAAACTAACAAGTGTTTAACAACTCAGTTCGATTACATCGATAAGTATATTTTTAGAAGGTTTATATTTAGTTATATTAATTATATTATTATTGTTTATTAGTTTGTTTTATATTTATTAGTACGTGTCACAACTTAGTTATTATTCATATTATTTCTTATATTTAATATTTTTTTAAAACTTTATTCTTGTTCTTTTTCACATGTTCTTAACTGTAGATTTGTCAAAAAAGACATAGTATAAAGTATAGAATTTTTTCGATCATCTGCCTCATTATATATCAAATATTTGTATATCCTATATTATATTATATTTAATTACAATTTTTTAATTAATATTTTAATTAAATATTTACTATTCACAAAGTCATTAATAAAATTGTCGAGTCAACTTTTGTTCATAAATATTTAAAGATATATTATTTTCATTAATTTGCTTATGTTGAATTGAGAAAAATTATGTTTTATAATTACATATAGGGAGGATATAAGATTTCTTATATTTTTTATGTAGTATTTATTGAGTAATTGTGTTTACAATTTTTCTATTAAAAATATATTAAACACGTGAACTTTTTAGTTCCTATAATTTTTTTTTCATAAATCACTCATTTTTATCCCAAGATTACCTATTAATTTACCAATTGAGTTACAATTCTTACATATTAAATATTATATAATTAAAATATTTCTTGTTTTATCTGTTCAATATGATACTCATATATTATATTAAAAAAAACTAATATAGTAAATAAAAAAGTTATTTAAAATTAGAATAATAAAGATTTTTTTTTCTAATCTACATGTATAAATGTACAAATAACTATTGTCTATCACCTCAAATTTACGCATAAAATTAATAAGAATAAAATACTAACAAGCGTTTAACAACTCAGTTCGATTATATCGATAAGTATATTTTTAGAAGGTTTATATTTAGATATATTAATTATATTATTTTTTGTTTATTAGTTTGTTTTATATTTATTAGTACGTGTCACAACTTAGTTATTATTCATATTATTTCTTATATTTAATATTTTTTTAAAACTTTATCTTGTTCTTTCACATGTTCTTAACTGTAGATTTGTCAAAAAAGACATAATATAAAGTATAGAATTTTTTCGATCATCTGCCTCATTATATATCAAATATTTGTATATTCTATAATATATTATATAATTACAAATTTTTAATTAATATTTTAATTAAATATTTACAATTCATAAAATCAATAATAATATTGTCGAGTCAACTTTTGTTCATAAAATTTTTAAAAATATATTATTTTCATTGATTTGCTTATGTTGAATTGAAAAAAGTTATGTTTTTTTTAATTATATATAGGAAGGATATAAGATATGATGGCATTAGTATATTACCAATTTGCCATTAAAAACATGTGAAAGTAAGGGTTTTTTAGGTTGTTCATTTTTTAATTAAAAATATAAATAAAATATGATGTGTATTAGTGTATTACTAATTTGCCATTAAATTTATGTCAAAGTAAGGGTTTTTAGGCATTTTGAATTTTTACAAAAACACTCATCCTTTTAAAGTAGTATAGATAGATAGATAGATAGATATAGATAGATAGATATAGAAAAAAAAAAAGAAAAAAAGGAAAAAAATAATTACAATTATTAGTGTCTCGTCTCACATCTTAATTCAAAATATGTAAATTTCCTGAATGTAAAATTCTATTAAAATTGTTAATTATTTTATTCTGTTAAAGTAAAAATAAATACGTTTTGGTTCTATTAAAATCGCCATCGCCCCTATATATAAATTCCGAATGCGCTGAGCCTACGTGGCTGTTTCTGGTGCTTCAGAATCCTCCTTGGCGAAGAATCATGCTTCGTAATTAGGTTCGGATAAATAATATTGATATATTAATAATTAATATCTAGGTTCGGACATTCCATAAATATTATTTAGCTAACTTAGGTATTTTAATATCACTTGTACTAATATAACCCTTTAATTCTTTGTAATTTTACATAGTGAGACACTAAATGACTAATATATCCCTGACTTTTGTTTTGTTTCCTTCAATTAGCTATTGAATTATAAATATATTTTAAAAATTGATAACTTTTGTATTTCTTATCGGTTTTACATATATAATATATCAAATTAATCATCTTTTCATGATCTTCGATTTGACATCCATATTGTATATATAAAATAAATAAATAATATTTACCTTTATAATAATAAAAAATAATATTTATTAAATTTTATTAGAAAAATAAAATTATTTCTCAGTTGATATATTTTTGTTTAATGTAGTTATATGTTGTAAGTTAAAAAAATTATTATAATATAACACAAGTAAGTCACACAAATAAAAAGTGTCATACTAAATATATAATTATATATATTTTTATAAAAGTTATTTAAATTTTCAACTACTTTTTCTCAATAATTTTAGATTTTAAGGAAAAAATTAGCAAGTACCCGTGTAATACACGGACGTTGTACTAGTAAGCATATAGAAACAATCTTATAATCATATATTATTATATAAATATTTAAAATTACAAATGTCAAGAAAAAATCATCTTTGAATTCTAAATCCCGTTTGTTAATTATTTAGTTAATATGTTATTGGTAGAGTAATAATGATCACTTGTGGAAGCATAACTAACCTGAGGTTTTTGAACTATAAATTAGGGGGAAATACTAAGGTCCAGGAATCATTTCGTTGGGTTTATAGCCCTTAGATCACCATATAATCGTCGGGATAGTTGATTTAACGGTTACAAACTCTGACGGAATGATTCCGTAACGGGACCTCATTTCAAAATCGTAGTGTTTCCCTAAATTAGGAGGCCCCATTTCAAAACCGCTCGCAGGAGACCATTTGCAGAATCAATGGTAACCAAAGTTTACATTATGTAAGTTTGAATTTTTTTTATCGTTATTTAAATTAAATTCTGTATCTTCCCCGATCATAGTTTTGCTCCCTGTTTCTTTCCAAATTTATTGTTGTACAGATACTATTCTATGTATGGACATGTGGAGAAACTAGCTCAACAGATACGAAAGGGAGCAGCATCTGTTGAAGGAGTCGAGGCCAAGCTATGGCATGTCCGGATTACGATCCTCATCTCACTCTCTGCATTACTAATACTTTTCGGCTTCTTGTTTTCTCTTACGGACTGGAATGATGAAGAACAGTTTTTATTGTCGTTAAAGAGAAATGAATCATTAAACAAATTAATGAGTAACTGTTTGTGACACTCACAAGTTCCACAAACACTGCCAGAAGAGGCCCTCACAAAAATGAGTGCACCTCCAAAGAGTGATGTTCCCATTATCACTCCTAACGAGCTTGTCGAGGCTGATGCATTCGTTTTCTGGGTTCCCGACAAGGTTTGGAATGATGGCAGCCCAATTCAAAGCCTTTCTGGATGCGACTGGAGGCCTGTGGAGAATCTAGCAACTTGCAGGGAAGCCCGCTGGCATCTTCTACAGCACCGGTTCCCAAGGCGGGGGCCAAGAAACCACAGCGTAATTTACTATAATTGAAATTGACCCTTGAAAACAAATTACTAAAAAAGAAAAAAACTCTGTTATGCTTTGAAATTAGAAGGTGCGCAATTTATAATGATATTACCATGTTCATTTTGTGAGTAACCAATACCTCAAGGGTATGTTCGGTAATCATCCAACAAAAGGATTGTCAATCGTTTTTTTTTTTCCCATGTCGAGAGTTTGAGAATATGATTGTTTACGCGCAGATTGGCGGAGATCACTCAGCTTGTTCACCACGGGATGATCTTTGTGCCTATTGGGTACACATTTGGAGCCGACATGTTTGAAAAGGAGAAAGAGAAAGCGGAAGCCCTTATGGTGTTGGGACTTTTGCTTTGGACGGTCCACGCCAGCCATCTGAGCATGAAAACGAGCAGGCGTTTCACCAGGGAAAGTACATTGCCACCATTGCCAACAAACTCAAGGAAGCTGCTTGATCTCTCCTAGTCCTAGATAAATACTAATTATACTATTTTTTGCATTCATATGATTTTTTTTCTTGATTTTTGAATATCTGTGTTGTTGTCATAAGATGCATATGTAATTCTGGAAAAAATTCAAAACTAGTCCTACATGTTAAGGGCGGTGCCATTTTTAGTCCCGCACGAAAGCGATTATCACAAATAGTCCTACAACTTTCAATAAGTAATCAAAAATAGGACTTTTGATGCAATTTTGGGCCTGAAAAGCCCGATAAGCCATGTGGCGCATATGTGAAGTTTTTATTGACATGTTCGCAGCCTTTATCACGTAGCATGGCAGAATACATGTGTGACTAGTTTTAATTTTTTTTTTTTTTTTT